ATGTATRTTCACACTGACAATCCACGCGTTTGAATAACTACCATAATGGATATGTGCTGGGCCTAAGAATACGCGCGCCCGACGATTCATAGCTATAAAAACGTTTTTTTCAGTTTTTTTTCCCAATAAAACATTAAAGAATAGCACCTCTTTTAATGCGCTAATTAACTGCGTTAAGAAAATTTTGGAAAATTAGAAAGTTTTAAAATAGAAGGACGAAAAAGATCCACTTTGGGTTGCCTGTGGAATTTTGATTTTGCTGCAGTTAAAAAAAATACAACCGGAACTTGGAAATAAATCATTTTCCAAAAATATACCAAGGTTTTATAAGAGTTTGATTTCCTTGAAAACTTATACCAAGACAAACCAAAGGCATCTCTTAAATAAATTAACCAATATTAAATATACTGCAAAAATTTAACCCATTCAAAGCACATTATATTATTGCTCCTATCATATGTGAGTAGAGTTCCTTGTTGGTTCTCTCCTGTGCTTCGAGGGTTATCTCCTGGTTCTCAAGTCTTCTCACTCCCACAAAAATCAACTTCTAAATTTTCAATTCGATTGTGGAACGTGAGCCACAGGTTTGTTAGCTACATATTGGCTATGAAGTGCTACCCTCGTAAATCAAGAATGGTATTTTATATATAGCGAATTTTTCATGARACTTAATTYATAGCAAAATWAAMGTCAGATTTCTGGCCTTATGAACCTGTATTATTTTACCACAGGGATCCCAAAATCCCATGTTCGCCAAAAAACACTTTATAGAAGAAAAACTAAAAACGTTTTTCAAAAAGCGCTAGAGGCTTTAGAAACTCCTTTCTTAGCTTTAAATCTTTGCGCAAAGAAATTTGGACTTTTCGCATTATTTCATAGAGAACAAGGGTCTTGAAGTTGAGACCCCTAAAATCGCGTTTTTTCGAAGGTTCCAAATTTTGGTCAATTTGAAAACTTGCTTTTTCTGGGCAAAATATATACTAAAAGAAAGCTTAGGATGAGGGCTTTAYGTTTCTGAAACTATCTTTTCCAATTATATAAAAGCGATGGTGTTATGAGTRAAGGAATTTTCTGGTCYGCAGTYACCTAGTCAGCGGTCTACTGTTTTTACACTTTTGCATATTTTTCTATGTTTCTGATTTTCGTATTCAATAAAACTTGCATGAATAACACCTTTTATAATGCGCTAAATAATGGTATTGATAAAAATTTGAAAGACCTTCGAAAAGTATTAAAAAGTGAAAGGATGAAAAGGATCCTGCCTGGGTTGCCTGTGGTTTGTCTAGCATTAAGGTTGCGCTTTTTGATTAAAACGATGAGCGAAACTTGTGAATTTTATCCCAAAAATGATAACTAAATCTATAAAGCTGTATAATAACTTAGTTTTCTCGTTAAAAAAAATGAATTTTAATCTAGATAAAATGATTATTTTACCACAGGGACCCCAAAGACAATTCAACATAACCACAGGTATCCCGTAAATGACCCCAGAGATGTGGTTAGGGTTGGAGAATCACATGGATTTTTAGATACCTAGAGTCTAGTAGAGATGTGGCAACGACAATCCTCCAATCCTCTCTCCCCCCCAGGGATAAGTAATAACCAGTTCTTATGTTATGCATATAAAACAAATACCAAAATACACCCAATAAACTTAATTGTAACGTGACAAACCTGAAGTGGTTTTGTAAACATAACGTACCGGGCATCTTGGAGTTGAATCCAGCCAGATTCTTGTGACTTACTTCGTGTTCCATCGTCGTTTCTTTGCTCAACATGGAGGACAACACAATAAATCTCTCTCCAGATACAGTTCAATGCCTAATAAATGTAAATTTACTTACTAGTAGCTTTTATCTTATTGGACTATTGAACAAATGAAAAAATTATCCTGCGAAACGCCTATTATTTAAGACCCGAGATAAAAGGAATGCCTTTTGAGCATTGTTACTTCATACTCAACATATCCTTTGTTCAAAATTTCTGTAAATGTTGGCACTTAATACAATGGAGTGTTTTTACTTGGCCCGTGAAAGAATATTTAGCATACATAGTATACACTAATTCCATTGTTTCCTTTTGTTTTACTTTCACTGTTAGTCTCTTACTGATCCAATCTTGTTTCACGGACCAAGCAAAATCACTCTGGGGCAGGGTGGAGTCGGGTCCCAAGTCCAGTCAATTTGAACCAAACACAATCAGTCATATACACTCGCAAAATGACATTATGCGACATTTGGCTCCCATCCCCTCCCCCACTCCCCCTCCCAGATATCMAGGCCTTACAATGGGCCAGCTCTAACATCGAATCCAA